AGGTAAACGTTTATGCTGATAAATATACCTCTCATACACAATCATATCATTTTGCAGAGAGGTGTTGACAGCTAACCACAGTAAGCATAGCATAGACCATGTTTTAACGAGGTTACCCCTTTGAAACGCTATTCATATACGTTATAGCCAAAGAAGGTTGCAGTCTTTGATAAATTTGCAACTTTAATTTCATTTAACTTTTCAGGGAAAATGACTCAGGAGGGTAACCAACTGTTGAGTTTGTTCTCATTTGGTCCCTTTCCTTTTTTTGTACTCAATATACCATCGAACTTGTTGTTTGTGTTCACCATAACCCTTTGACCGGCTATCACAGGTCAAAAGCCGGTCAAAAGGGTTATGGTGAACGCAAACAACAAGTTCGATGGTATATACCGTATATTGAATACAAAAAAAGGAAAGGGACCAAATGAGTACAAACGCAAAAGTTAATTACCCTCAAGAGTCATTTTCCCTATTAGATTTGTAGCTTTGTTTTTAAATTAAAAAAAAATTACAACGCTAGTCATTCTTTTTTCTTTTAAAAAAATTGGTTAATAACTTATAAGAATTTTATTCGGTAGGTATATTTAATTATTATGTATATTTAATTATTTATGTTTCTTTTGTACATATATAATCATTAAATTTATTTACATGTTCAAAAAAATATCATTATAACTTATACCAACGATGATAATGGTATTTTGTGAACATGTAAACCATGGTATTTTGTGAACATGAAAACCATTTATGGTTTACATGTTCACAAAATACCATTATCATCGTTGGTATAGGTTATAATGATATTTTATGTACATATAAATAAGTTAATGACATATATGTAAAAGAAATATAAGTGATTAAATGTGTATATGATATAAAGTTTACTATCCTTATAAGTCATTAATCCTTTTTATATAAAATAAGTGTCACTAAACTGTATCGACTCTTCTAATAATTATGGAACTGTATTGGCCATTTTCATATATTTATGGTTCTTGAAACCACGCCTTCTTTAATGGTTCCCATCCCCACCATTATGAACTATAATAATTACATCCAAACAACCACCATCACTGTCGTCTCCTCCACTTACTAATCCATATATGTATTTCCTCCACAATCGAGTTCTCCATTTTTCACATCTCCATGACCTCCACTCCGCGTCCTTGTTCTTCTATACCTATATAAAATATTGACCCTAAGATAAGTGATCAGTTATTCCTTCGTTCTACAAGAAATCATATGAACAAAGTCATGGATTAAATGATCAACCTCATGTTCATTTGTTCGTTTCCCGATTTCCCGATTTGTGATCAATTTAGACTACAAAATCGAACACATCAATTTAGTCCGGACCAGGCGTCTAGTTTTCATAGAGCAACTCAAATCATCGAGGGGCCCAAAGATATCGCCTTTCATGTTAAGGCAAAATGAATTAATACACTTTGACTACATAACTACAACATTTACTCACCAAATCATACATGACACTACGTTTTATAACATCATGTTACTGATGCGTTTTTGCAATACCAATGCATAACCGACTTTTAAATTACAACTTATGTATCTCCGTTTGAAGAATAGAAGATATTATTGTCTTAGAATTACTCAATATTGAATATATGAAGTAATCTCTAAGTGTGGGTTTATCCAATACTCAAAATCTCCATTTTCTAAGTACTCATGAATATTGTAACAATCCCATGCAATGTTCAATCTCTATGGACAATCTACAATCAATTTCGGACAGTCTTGAATCACTACTTACTTCCAAAAGTATGAGTGGCTGTGGAACGATGAATAGTATTTAAATTACCTAGGGAAGTAAAACATGCAAAGTGAAACAAAATAATAAATTAATTAACTATGGTATTATACCCATTGATCATAAATAAATCTCTATTATTTAATCACCATAAGAATTACGAATTTGTTCATTGTATAATGTTTCGAGTAATCAACTAACCACTTGAATTAAATAACATCAGTCATGCCATACATATTATGCCTTTCTATGGTCTTTCCTTTGTGAGCAGATCGCCTGGACATAACTCCAATGATGCTCATTTCACAATTCCAAATTCTTGTTCTTATCTAAGATGTAGTGAAATTTCATCTTTACATGCACTGACCATATGTGATGTCGAGGTTCTAAATGATGGGTTTTTAGCATAACATCATTCCTATGGTGTGCATACAACCCTAATGCTTTGGATCTAGGTTTTCCTCAAGTTACACATGCAAACAATCTTCCAAAGCATAAACCCTAATCTAACATGTCTAAGAACGAAATTCATATGTAAATAAGGGTTTGGAATCTTACCTTACTTGTTATGTAGAAATAGCAAGAACACCTTGAATATCCTTGACCTCTGAAAGCTTAGTGCCCAAAGTGTTGCACCTCTAATGGAGTCACAAACACCACTAGCAACAAGGAAGAACAAGAGAGAGAGAGAGGAGGAGAAGGCACTAAAACGTCCAAGATACTCTAAGAATGCATTAGGACGATTTTGGGAGCCTTGGGGTTACTTTTCTAGTTGAGGCTTTTAGGGTTATCAACTTGGAAACCCTAATTCCCTTGCTTAGGACCTAAGCAACATATGGACTCCTTATTGGACAAGCCTTGGACGAAATCTTTATGGACTCTCATAGAGATTTCGTCCCCCCTATACCAATAAGGTCCATGAGCCCAAACTATAAATATTACTGATTTACATAATCAGTCCCTGTTAAATTAATCAGTCTTTTTTATCACCAAATTAATTCCAAATTAATTTCTGATCAATACTAATTAAATAATATGATTTCTCAATTAACATATTATTCTTATAATACATTAATAAATCATAATAAATCCTTTTTCTCCATAATTCATCCTATTAGTTGCTATAGTGAAGGCAACCCAAAAGGACCATCCTCATAATCGGGTCAAGTACATACCAAAATAGTTATGGGCTTAGACACCTAATTCAACAGTCTCCCACTTGGATAAGTCTAATAACTATTTTGCAAGTACGACTTCAGAACCTGATTAGCAATCGTAGCTTTCAAAAGCCACTGTCGAACTCTGATCTTATCAGCAACGTGTCCTTTAGATAAGGGATCATATATTCCTCCATTCTAGATATCGTATAGACATGAGACATGGATTTTAATCATTCTCTCTGTCTATGTGTTGTTTCTCGATTTCCGATTTATGAAAACTGACTAACTGAACAGATCAAATTAGTCCAGGCTTGGCCAAGCGCTTTGGGGTGTCATCACTAAATCATCGAGAGGACCACATATATTGCTTTTATCCCTCTTAGGGTAAAAGGAACGGATAAACTTTGACTCAAATGCTCGCTTGTACTTACTCATCAAATCACTCACAACAATATGTTTTATAACACCAAGTTACTGGTGCGTTTACATATGTCAATGGGCAACCGACTTGCAAACTACAACTCACATGTCTCCGTTTCAAGAATATAAGATGTTATCGTCTCACAATCACTCGTGATAAAATCCATGAAGTGATTCACGTGAGCGTGGGTTTAATCCAATACTCTAATCTTATTACAGAAGTACTCATGAACTCTGCAGCAAACTTGTGATATGTCTGAACACTTTAGAAAATGTACAGACGGATTCATGACAATCTTGCCTCAATACTCACTTCCAACGTATGATCGACTGTGGATGTTTGAATAATCTTATTATTCGGGAAGTCAAAACATGCGAACTGAACACAAGAATAATCGAATCCAATATGGTCTCAACCTTTTGAGTATAAATAAAACACCTTTTATTTAATCACCATA